CCATGCATATGATTATTTAGCCCTCATAGATAACGTCTTTTAAAGTGCATTAAGGTAACAAGGCACAAAAAAAAATTCGTGAAAAGTCCTAAACACAATGGATTATTACACAATATTAAACTTTGAAATTAGATAATATAAAAAAAATAAGAACATTAATTCTTGTAAAGTTCCTGCGACACATATGATTATATGCAAAGTATTAGAACTTAATAAGAATATGAAAAAGGGAAAAAAAATCATTAACAATAAAAATGAAGAAAGACGTATTTAAAAAGTACCCGCCCCCCAAATTCAGTCCGGGAATTCAGCGTGATTAAGACGGGTAACGTAGCGATATCACTTCCGACGGCTATGCACGCATGATGTTTGTGATTTTTTTAATTTGGGTTCACAATTATCTATATATGTAAATTGTGATTTTTAAATGTCTTCTTTTTTTTTTATTGTTTGCCTTTTTTTTTTCCTTTTTTATGAGGTTATATTTAAAGTTCAATCATTTTGATTAATAATCATTTGTTTAGACTTTTCAACGTAAATTAAATTTTTTTATTATTGATATTAATCAAAGTTTAATATTTGATAACAATCATTATGTGTTGCAACTTTGTCAAGAAATTTTCTTTTAGTGCTTGTTCGTTGAATGGCAATTAAAGTGTTTATTATGAGGGGATAATTAATGATATGTGTGGACTTTTCAAGGATCATTCATATGTGTTGGATTCCAAAAATTTTTTTGTATGCTTGTTGCTTAATGCGCATTAAAGGTGTTAATTATGAGGGTAAAGACTTGAGGGTTGGGAGAAGTTATAAATGCTAATTTTTTTAAAAAAATAAAAAACATCAAAAATTTAGATTGGGAGATTGAAAACTCCCACAGACTTGGGGTTTAATAACCCATTTTGCTGTAATATATAGTATAGATAGTAGATAGATGTGGACTTTTTCAAAAAAAATTTATGCTTGTTCTTAATGCATTAAAGTGTTATTATTGAGGGATGATAATCATATTTGTTGGGACTTTTCAAGAATTTACATACTAACCTAAACTCACGCCGTGCTATGCACGGATAAATTTAGATATTTAATTTGGTTTTAGATTTTTTTTAAATAATAAATTATGTTGTTTAAGTAATTTTGTTATAAAAAAATTTAACAATCTTACACTAACCATAATGTTATAGGAGAAGTAAAGGGTACTGCAGTAACTAGTATACGGATTTGGATCTATAATTTTTGTTTGAGGGGATTTAAATGTTGATGCAGTGGAGTTTGACCGCAAATCAATAAATGCAGGCATGTATGAAAATGACATGTAGAATTGAACAATAGTTAATAAATGCTGGATTAGCGATTTTGACCCCCAAATAATAAAATACTTGAGTTTTTTAAAAAATAAAAAAATAAAAAAATTTAGAAATTCAAGAGTTGAGATATTTGAAGCTCCACAGAGGCTTCGGGTTGGTGTTTAGAATTAATCTATATTTGGTGAATTGTGATTTTTAGAATTTTATTTTTTTTAAATGTCTTTTTTTTTTACTTTTTTTATATATATTAAAGGTTTAATATTTTTATAATAACGCAATAGGTGTGGGACTTTTTCGAGGACTTAAATGTCTTTTTTGATTAGTTATTATTTATATTATAGTTAAGGTTTATATATTTTGATAAATCATATGTGTTGGACCTTTTCAAATAATTTTTTTTTATATGTTTGTTCTTATGCATTTAAAGTGTGTATCTCATGAGGATAATAATCATTGTGTTGGGACCATTTTCCAGAAATTTATATGTGGTTGGATTCAAAAATTTTTTTATGCTTGTTCTAATGCATTAAAGTGTTATTATGAGTACGATAAGGATTTGGGTGTTTGGAAGAAGTTTAATAAATGCTAATAAAAAAAAGTTTAAATCAAATAGATCATAAATTTAGATTGGAGATTAAACTCTCAACAGGCTTGAGATTTCAAAACCCCATTTTTCCGCTTAATATAAGTATAGATAGATTGTAAAATATATTAAGGAAAATGGGGTTTCTAAAACCCCAAGCCTTGTGGAGTCAATCTCTCCAATCTTAATTTCTTAAATTTTTGATTATAAAAGTAAAACTCACACATATTATTGATTTGGTCAAAATTCCCTGATCAACATTTATTAATTTTTTTACCAAACCACATGCACCTGCTATTTATATGATCCTTAGTCAAAAACCTAATTAGTCAATTTTAAAATCGCCGTTATACAGATCAAATTAGTAGATAACAGTCTCGTGCATATTTACTTGCAGTAAGCTCTTTTAATTTTTCCTGTGACACTATGGTTAGTGACATAGATTGTTAAGTGTATTTTTTAATAAAAATCTATAAAATATATATTTATATATTTAAAAAGATGTAAAACAAATATAAATATTTATAATTATTCTGTGCACAGTACGGGCGATAGACTAATAATTTATATATGGTGATGGTGTGTATTAGTGAATAACCCATATATTAACTAATAATTAAGAACAAAGAAAACAAAAAATTAGAGTAAGAAGGGAAGCTCAAGGGTTAGCCTAGTCACTTGAGACTTGACTTGGGACTTGGGACTTGGGACTTGGGGATTTACTCTCTTTAAGTTTTAAGTTCGATTCTCCTAATAAGGGTTGGTTTGGAATGTTATAAAAAAGTATACTTTTTGACTTATTAGCTTATGTGAGTTAGGTTTGGATTGGGTTTGATGTGATGTATTAGAGAGATGATGTGATTTAAATAAGATGATGTAACTTAAATAAAATAGTGACTTTTTAACTTTTTATATTATTTAGGTTATGCCAAACTTGACCTAAATATAAAACCTGTAAGAGCATCTCCAACGCTTAACTTCTTTTTTCATCAAATCTGATGAAAAAAATGATGATTTTTTCAATTTGATACGAGGCGCTCCAACGGTGAGCATCAAAGCAGAATTGGGGAAGTGGTCGACCGGGTGGTCGACCGGCCGGTTGACCAACCGGTCGACCGGTTTGGGTAATTTTTTTTTATTTATTTTTTTTTACCTGTTTCAACCTATTTTGACCGGTTTGAACCTAGTTATTTCAAAGGGAACCGATGTATCTCTTTCAACGGTCAGTAACAGTGATTTGGTAAAATCCGGAACTTGTTCTCAGTTTGATACTTTTTTTGCTGATTTCTCATTTTGATATTCATTTGATGCAACGGTTGGAGCATGGAAAAGTATATTTTTCATCAAAATTTAAATCTGATATCAATTTTGGTTCACCGTTGGAGATGGTCTAATGTCAGATCATCTGATGAAAGTTGATCAGACGGTACTTCCTCTCGTCAATGCCAATCTAAGTAGTAGCCCACTTGTTGTATACCTCAAATTGCATTCCTTTTGGGCCTAATTAGTTTTGCTTTTATAGCAGGTTGGTCTGGACTCTTAATTAGGCCGATTCTCATATTTTTACCCTCCACTGTGCCCTATGAACACTTTCAGTCATAACTAAAGAGTACAATATCCACCAAACACTAATCTCATTATCGAGATGGATGCTACTTTAATTTGACCATCATTCACAATCATAACCAACACAATTTTAATTTATAACCAATGCTACTTACTTTAGATATAACTGCCATATATTTTACCTTTTTTTAAAAAAATATGTATCATAAAAATAGTCGTTTTAAAGGGAGATTATTATTATTTTAAAATGCCTGTAGGTTAAACTAACCCATATATTGCACTCAATTTTGTTTCTCTTGCCAAGATGATGAAATCAATAGTATACACAAAATTTTCAATTAAATATTATCCAATTAAACAAACGTATATAACTCTGCAAAACACAAGAAAAAGTGTACATAAAACAATTGAGTTCAGCACCTTGGATCTTCTTCAGCATTAATTTTTTACCAATAATATTATATAAATAAAATTTTGTACAAAATCCTCAGACAAATAATGTGACCTTGTGGTACGTTCATTTCACCTTGAAATTTGATATCATAAAATCAGGAATAGATTGCTCAAGGGAGCAAATTAAAAGGAATAGTTTGTCAACCTAGATTTCACTAATCCATTTTTCCATGGATTCGTTTACCCAACTCCACTCAGACCAATCTAATCTGTGCCTTCATTTGGAATGTGGATTAATTTTTTTATTTTTTAGCTTTTTTAGCCTGTGGTTAAAAAACCTCATTTGAGATTGATTTTTTGATTTTTTTGATTTTTTTGAGAGAAAAAATAAAATAATTATGATTTGGATGTGACATTTTATCTTATTAACTTTTTAATTTATTTTATCTTTTTATAACTAAAATTGCTAAAAAAGCTCATGCCAAACATAACCTTTCACAATAAGTAGGTAAGTAGAACTATCATCAAATAACTCATTAGTCGATTAAAAGATGACTTCGGAATAGCATATACAACACGCATCCAGAATGAGATGGCAAACATAGCATAGTGTTTAAATAAGGTTTCGTCAATTCATCACAATTATCAATTTCCAACTTGCCAAATAGACATCAAACTAAGATGAAAAACCTGAAAAACAGAGTACTGTCTGCTTAGATCCAACAGAAAAACGAAAATAAAACCCTAATCTCTAGTGACCCTTTACAATGACTCAAACTCAAGATATTGAATCATATTCTCAATTCTTTACTGCTTGGCCAACCCCTTCGGGATTCTTCTATTGATAGCATTTCCATACAAAAAGGTCATAAGTATGAAAAGGAGTACAAGACCGTATTGAACAAAGAACCATAGAAAGTAAAGCAACATCATATATTCACATTGGAGTAACTTTTCTCCACACCCATATTGCTATGTACTTGCAACATGTCCAAAAAGGGTTAGCACTTGAAACAGATAGTCACAAAATGGATACAAAGGAAATTACACTGCCGATCTTTATATGCAAAGGATTAGAAACCTTTCAGCTGATAACTTTACAAAACATGAAGCACTAAAACATGCTTAAAGTACTTACAAAGAAACCATCTTCATTGTATGCGTCCTGATAGCACATCGGCCAGAGAAAAGTGATCCTGCAAAGGCAATTGAAATACAACTTCACCGGGTTTCTTCAATAATTTTTGGATCATAGCTTTTTTTGGCGATTGGTAGGTGTGGTGGAGACGCATTTGGAGAGTGGAAAGTTTCTTGATACTGTAACTAGCCAAACCCCGGTCATCCTCCAAAGTTCTTCCACCAAACACAAGATAATGGGCATCAACCAGCATGTCCGCCTTACTGAAAATCTTATTCTTCATGTCATGTTCGTGAACATTAAGAATTAATGATTTTCCATTCCCGTCCTTTACAAATATCTGAAAGGAAGGCACCTCAAGCCACACGTCTAAGATGGAGTTCTCTCTGATGTTATAAAAAGCTAAAGTCTTCCCATCCTCGAGTCGCTTCTCATCGTACAGTACATGCTGCTCACTGCACCAAAATCCAACCATACTCTCAATTATTGCCTTGACATCACGAACTGTGTGCAAGAACTTAACTTCAGGTTTCAGGATCTCCCCACTAAGCATTCTTACAGAAATTGACAACACATCTTTTGGATAAAGACCAAATAAATGATACATTTTGTTTGTACATTGAAAGAGGCCAAAGTCCTGTTATCTTCCAATAACTTTCCACCATAGAAAAGAGTAATAATCTGATTGTATACCCTCTTTTTCCTGAATCAAGGATTTGATGTTTTGGACAGTATCACGAGCCTTTGCTTGGAGTTCAAGTGTTTTCTTGCGTGATGGTATGTAGACTAAGAATTTTATTGAACCCAAATTTTGGAAGACGAGATGGAGATTGGAGTTCGGCTGAATGCCATAATCAACCAGCTTGTGGTCATCCTTGAGCTGCTCGCAAGAAAAAAAGAGTTCCTGAATATTTTCGGAAATGCCTTCCTTCTCACATAGCATTGCCTTTAGATTTTTAATTGTCTTTGAATGTCTTCACCTCTAAGGCATATGTTCATCTATAATAAAAGAGGAGAAGGAATGAAAGGCACCAGAAGAGTATTACCCAATCATACTTGAAAATGGCACAATTACTCAAGCCTATTTGTATGGAACCTTGTTGAACTAGACGAAGGTCCCTACTCTGTACTGACGAAGGTCCCTACTCCGTACTCAAGCCTATTTGTATGGAGCCTTGTTGGACTGGACGAAGGTCCCCACTCCGAAGTGGGCTCTCTCTCTCTCTCCACCCTATGATGGGCCGAGCTAAGGGATCATTCTTGACCCACTTCCACTCTCACTCCGAAGAGGGGAAGACCATGGGCCTGGCCCTAGCACCACTCCCCACTCCGAAGAAGGGAAGACCATGGGCCTGGCCCTAGCACCACTCCCCACTCCGAAGTGGGTAAGTCCATAACATGGGATCCAAGGCTTCCACTCAACGAAAACATGAGTGCTAACAGATCAATCAATACCCTGTAAAGTAAAGAGCACATGGTGCCCGCGAATGACGGATCTTGCTCCCCTCTATTAAGAGATGTGCTACCATCATGGCTAAAGACCAGGCGTAGAATGAGGGAGCTTGATGAATAACACTCAACGAAAACATGAGTGCTAACAAATCAATCAATACCCTGTAAAGTAAAGAGCACATGGTGCCCGCGAATGACGGATCTTGCTCCCCTCTATTAAGGGATGTGCTACCATCATGGCTAAAGACCGGGCGTAGAATGAGGGAGCTTGATGAATAAGTCATACAATCCTTATAAAAGGTAACCTGACTCTCCTTGAAAGGGGCGATCTCTTAACTCTAGAAACAGACTGGTCTTCTTTATCTTGTCTCTACCAAACTCCGGTACTGACTCGACCGTCGGAGGGGTTTCCGACCAACCCCCGGTCGGGCAGCCTAACTATTTGTTCCTTGTGCAGGCCTTCACCCATTGGTGCACCAGGGTTCGTCCACGAAGTTCCATCTTACTCTATTGCGGAAACTGGTCCGCACATTTGGCGCCGTCTGTGGGAATCGTTCTCTGATTGCTTTGTGACGAAATCAGATGATGGATATTGAAGGAACCTCGCAACCTGGGATGGGAGAGAAGACTCCAGGAACGGAGAGAACCAAAGACAAGGGTCTGGCCTTTCCTACCGAGAACGACAACCTGATGGACAACGACAGTCCGACCCTCCATACGGCGGAGCGACGTCATGCCGTCACCTATCAGTCATCTCAACAGTTGTTTGTTGAGAAGGACCACCGTGATCGTGTCATCGACTCGACGAGTCTGGAGATTGAGGAGTTACGTGCTCAACTGAGGAAGCAGATGGTACCTCAGGGTGAGCCAAGGAAGTCCGGAGGGGGACTATCGCAGCAACAGAAGCACACTTTTCCACCGCCTCTACGATGTGAATGGTCTAACTACGGTCCTACTTGTGGTGAGTGTAACCGGCCGATTCCGGTATGTAGTGAGGGAGCCAGAAGTAAGACGGAGAATTCTTGAGAAGACTTTCGCAAGAGACAAAAGTCCATTAGTCATTATTCAACACTCTCTTCTCTTCCGCATCGTCGTAACGAGCGACCGCGTAACTTGAGAACATGGTTGAACGACAACCAAGGGGATGACCGACGGTCGAACAAAGTAGCAGAACGACGAGTAGAAAGGGAAAATGAGCATCTAGATCGGTCCGTTCATCAGATAGAGCATCGTGCTTTGGACCGACTAATTTCTTCCCCCTTCTACACCGAGATTGAAGTGGTGGAAGCTCCTCATAAGTACAGTCCATCGAAGTTCATCCTTTATGATAGGAAGTCAAACACCCTGACTCATATCAGCCATTACCGCCAAATGATGTCATTTTGGAATTAGAATGATGCGTTCATGTGCAAGGTTTTTGCCTCTAGCCTTGGTGAGCATGGCCTCCGGTGGTATGACAAGCTTCCTCCTCAATCAATCTATGATTGGGCTCAGCTCTCCGAATCCTTTGTTGCACGGTTTGTTTCTAATAGTCAAATCCCGAAGGGATTGGATACCTTGTTCAATACTCGGAAGGATAAAAAGGAGTCTTTGCGCGAATACGCTAGGCGATATTGGGAGGCATATGGCGATTTGGAAGAAGATGTTTGTAGTGAGCCGTTGGCAGCTCTATACTTCAATCAAGGCTCCCCCTTCACATAAGCTCAGGCAATCATTGACAAAACGACCCCCCTCTGACTTGAAAGAGCTGAGGGCTCGAATAGAGGAGCGAGCCCGTGTGGAAGATGACACAGCCTCTATACAAGTGTCAGTTGGAGATGAGGGAGTTAAGGACTCTTGGCAACATAAAGCCGAACAACCTAGGAGGGAGGACCAAAGAAAGAGGTATGGCCAAAATAAGCAACCGACCATGTAAACCGAAGAAGAAAGGAGTAGATCCTAGGAAGCCATAACCACTGTGTTCACGGAGCCGATCTATAGGCACTTGGAAAAAAATCAAGGGAGAGCCCTACCTCGTTTGGCCTCCTAAGATGATGGGGGATCCTGCTCGGCGCAACCAGGAGTGGAGGTGTACCTACCATCGTGAGAAAGGGCATAAGACGTAGAACTGCAGAGACCTTAAGAGGCATCTCAAAGACTTGGTTACTGCCAGCCACCTCTAGCAATGGATCGATGTGGAAAAGACAAGGGCAAAACAGGGACAACCCCCAACCCCTCTACTAGAGGACCAAGCTCCAAGGCTAGTGATAAACGTTATCCATGGGATGACCGACCCCCAAAGGGAGAATGCCCTTCGTAGCGAGATTCAGAGAGCCACGCACTTGCAACAAGTCATGTCAATAGGACCATTGCTCAAGAAGTCTATAACGGAAGCAAAGCCCTCTCAATTCAACAGGTTCATGGCTCATAATGTTTCCTATCATTTCTACTCAAAACAACCAACATTTTTCTTTTGAGTATTTGAATTATGAAAAAAACAAGTTGATTGGTTGTTAAATATTTATAATACCAAAATTATCTCTTAAAATACAAAGGAAAAAAAAATAAAAAAATCTCACTCATGTCCTCTTCTCACATGCTTTGTTTTCTCACTCATACAAGCATGATAATGTCATTTCTTTTCTTTTCTCATCCCATGATCCAAATGGAGTGTTAAAGTTCTCAATTTCCTAAAGTTTCTCCCTAACCAAACAAGGCATTAAAATTTGCGACAAACAAAAACAACACTTTGGCTCGTTTTCTCAGCAACCAAACAGAATATACTTCAATAATAATGGTAAAATAATGATGAAACAAACTAGGCACAAAAAGGAAGGGCAGTAACGACCTTTTCTTTTTGGTGCGAATCCAATGGAGTGTTGGGAATTCCAGAGACCTCTGCCGAAGAAGACACCTTGCGAATCTTCGCTCTCTGCATCGTTTGGGAAGTGGCTTGACTTTTTTACTTTTTGATTTTTATTTTTTTTTTTGACAATTTTAGTTTAAGTTAAAAAAATCTCGTTTGAGATTGATTTTTTTTGAATTTTTTAATTTTATGAGAAAAAAATAATAATTATAATTTAAATGTGAAATTTTATTTTATTCACAGGCTATTTTAACCTTTTAGCCGCTCACCCTAACATGCCAAACGAGGGCTGAGTGAGTGATGAAACTTGGGTTTTCACTTTTCACAGCCCTAGCTAAAAAGTAAAAATGGGAAATTTCAACGTAATTTTTTTTTTTTGGGTAAATTATACTGATATCTGTTGAGATTTTTATTTAATACAGATCCCTTTCTCACATTTGAAAAATTATACTTACCCTCTATCAAATTAAAATGACATATTTGTACCTTAACTTTTATACATATAAAATAATAAAATAATACAGAGATTATGTTCATGTCATTTCAAGATAATTAATAATTATCTTCTTTAGTTTAAACTCACACAAAAAAATTGAGTGTTTTTTTTTTCATTTTTTTTTACTGAATTTTTTTAATATTTTAAGTAATTTTTTTTTTAGAAACATCTAATCTAGATATACTTAAAAAATATAATATTTTGTGATTTTTTTTTTAAATTCACCAAATATAAAATATATATATATATAAATACAAAAATTTAATATATTATCTTATTTTGTTGTACTCAATGATTTTTTAAAAAAGTTTTTTGTACACATTTTATACTTTTTAATATATCTGGATTAAATTAATCTAATCTAGATAGAAAGGTGGAAATAAAAATGAAAAATTATGTTCATATATAAAAATTTATACAAAAAATATCATAAAAATATTATGATAGTGATATTGTTGTAAATATAAATTATATTTATGAGTGTTTTGTTTTAAAATGAAAAGTCACCATTAAATTATATCATCGTGTCTGAAAATTCTATCTAAAATTTATATTTATATATCATTACTCAATAATGATATGTGTATAATTTAATGATGGAAAGTTATGGAATGTAATCATGATGATAGGAAGAAGAAATGACAGGAAAGGGGGCAAAATGGTCGTTTAGAAGATCTTAGGGCATGACATCAGCAATCTAGGGACAATTTATAATGAGATTACAAACCTTAAGAGGGGAATGTAATTTTTCAAATGTGAAGGGAGAATCTATATTAACCAAAAATCTTAGTGGGTGTCATTGTAATTTACGCTTTTTAAATAAAAATAAAAATAAAAATGATTAGTAGCTCGAATTTAAGTTTGCCCGAAAGCCTAAATTTGTGCTTGTCGGTCGACCACCCGGACAACCGGTGCAACACTTGTTTATTGCGGTTGTCACCCTTGTTGACCACGACTATCACCTTCTTGCCAGATGATTGACCGAACAATTGACAAGCCAAAATTTGGGCAATTTCGAACAAAATTAGATTCGTGCTACCAATTAGTGTTGAAAAAAAATATATAGCAAATGTTATACACATTAATAATTAAAGTCATAAAAAAAAATTATAATTTTAATGATTGTTTTGGAGTTTGCTTATTTTTTAAA